TCTACATACATATATTTCTTTTACTTTATAATTAATATTAAATATATAATGTAATCAATTACTGGTAATGAAACATTCTTTTTTCATGCTTTAACATACATGCATATTCCGTTTCCTTTTCATCGATAAACGTTGATCATATAATATACGTTTCGCAACGGCTATGACACATGAATTATTCAAGTGGCAGTAGTACATCAAATTTGTCGTCGTAGAAAATTAATGTTGTGTAACTGGCAATGTGAAGTGAAATTAATCTTGGAATTGAACTTGTAATTTTTTATGTCATGAGTGAGTGATGAAGCGTGTTGATACAAATTAAAACATAACAAGACTCTCTACTCCTGCACCCTAATTTATTTTATTGTTATATAAGATATTTCGTTTCACATCGCTGCTGCTATTATTTGTTATTGTTTTTGAGCGCATGCGTGAAAGAGAGAGAGAGAGAGAGAGAGAGAGTGTGTGTGTGTGTGTGTGTGTGTGTGTGTGTGTGTGTGTGTGTGTGAGTGTGTGAGTGTGTGAGTGTAATATGTGTTAACTTAAATAGAGCATGTACACATAAGCATGAGAAGCACATATAATACATACATATCACGTCAGCCGATTCTCAGCATCACGTTTTATTCACACTGGATAATTATTATATCTGATAACAATGACAGGATGTATAATTCTCGAAAGGGAAAGTAGACTCAATTTTTATACTAACTTATTTAACAGTATTATTAACTTCCCCTTGAGGTCCCTATTCTTTCTATTTAATTCCATTGCGCGAATCATATTTTTATTAACTATACAAAATAACATTTCCACACATGTTAAGAAGATTACTTTTTAATTGCAGATTTGTTATTAACAGAATTTTGCGTATAAAGCTGCTTCTCTTTAGACTTTATTAAGTATATTAGTCATAATTAATATATCCTATAATATCGTATTTTTTAATAAATAGCCTTTTCTTTTTATTCGATTCTAATTCACTTGCAATATTCTTTTGTCGATCTTCCCATTTTCTTGCTGTCTGAACGAGATATAGTTTCAAATGATTTTCTATTTTATTTCAGAAATAAAAGCAAGGAAAAAGCATGCAGGTAAGAAATAATTCCTTTGGTGTCCGAGCGTTTTAGTAGAGACTAACTTAGCGCATGAGAAACAAGCTAAATAGACATTAACACCAGAGCATTAGTTTCCTTTTCATCAATTTTATAGTTTTAATAATCCTGCTTATAAAATATCTTTCATATAGTGTATCAGTTTTAATGATTTTATAATAATCGAGGAGTATTTTATTTCCGTTGTAGACTTAATTAACGTAAAAAAATATAAATGATCAGAGATACACGCAAATCTGTCGATCGGCTGTATTGTTCCGTTATAAAACTTACGTTGTAATAAGTAAGACAACTACAAGAGTATCGTAACAGAGTGATTGATTGAATGCACAGAGAAAGATCTTGGTTTCCTACGAATTGGCTCATTGAACGTTCGCGTGAAACGTACTACGGAAGCCTTCAGCCAATTCCTGGGTGTGGCAACCAGCAGTACGACTAACAACAATAATGAGAAGATTCATAAATCATGGGGATCCGCGGACAATGTTCAGGTACTATTCTCGTGAGTTCAGTGTGTCATTGAATCAAACACGTTGCACATTAGAATAAATTCCATAATGAAAAATATATATTTCTTCGATTAAATAGATTTGTTCGCGTTGCTTAATCTCCAAAAAAAAGTATACATAATTACACTATTTAATAAAAAATATAAATAATTTCTATTATATAAATATATAATAGAAATATATAATTATACATAAATTTAATGGAAATATGTAAATAGAATCATACTTCCACCAAAAGATAAATACACACACATTAGTTAATGGAATCACATTAATAATATTATTAACATTCAGTGTTACTGTCCATTCTAATCTCTCGCGTGTTTCGTTGTAACATTTCTCGTTGTAAGCTGGAGCAGAAGCTGATGCCACCGCCAAAGTACGCGCCCATCAAGAAGCGCAGGAGCAGACGGCCGCAGGATTTCGGTTGTTCGCAGGAGCAGCAGCAGGTCGCCAGTCAACCAACTACTCCGTTGCTGCAGGGCAAGGTGAACCGACCAAACCGGGCTGTTCAGCGTCGACCAACGTCTACGACATCGATCAACTCCAACTCCATCGCATCCGGTGGTGTTCAGCAAAACGGCGATTCCGACTCCGACACGGCGTGTGGTTTCGATTCTGCGTGGCGAGGATCGGCTCAATTGTAATTAGCCTAATTCATTACTTTAGATAACGTCGCTCACGCTTATTCGATTGCACGAAGTATAAGAAAGCTTAGATCCCAAAAAGCTTTAGGGACCGACAGTAGAGAGAGAGAATAGAATAAAATATTTATTCACTTCAGCGTTTTTGACAAAGCCAAGAAGGGGACTTGGTTTACAATTTTCCTTATCTCACTTATCCATCCATACCTTTTGTATACCACTTAGGATTGATTGTTCCATCTTTTGGTAAAGTTTACTTGTTAGGTAAATAGCAAGATTACCCAATCACGTGCACGAATTGCCAGATTTACCTAACAGGTAAACTTTATCGAAAGATGGGACAATCGGCCCTTAATTGCACATTTATTTTTCCTGTTCTTAACTTACCTATAACTTGCCTATGAACTATGACTTAAAAACTACCTCTATATAGACTACTGTATAATATGGGACCGACAGTATCTCTGGCAATTCTTTCAAAAGGCAGACACAAAAATCTAAGTACGCGATTCTCACCAATGACTACACCGACGTGAAAGACTTTAATATACAGAACAAAATTTAAAAGATTTTATTTTTCGAGCTCTCAAATTATTCTCATTTTGCAGCATTTTATTGTTTATAATACAGAAAATCTGGTAATAAAAATTGTATTTCAGATATGATTTCTTTATAAAAATTTTATAATGTGAATCATACCTCGTTTTCTTTAATAAATGCATTAAATAATTTATTTTTTAGATTAAAATAAAATTATTTGATGTACATGATAATGTTCATCCTCATTTCAACTAAAATGCTCAAATTTAACTTTAAACATTGTATATAGATAAACGTATTTTTTACGTATTTTGTTTATATATAGAAATATATTTTATAAGTTGCAGATCGTAATTTAAGGATATCTAATACGCTTATATTATGATATTTATCACAATATAAATCATAAAATATATTTTAAATTTATAAAAATAATTTTTATCCATCTCACGATATATATGATTTTTATGTTCGTATTTACGATATTGCTATTGTTGTTACATATTACGCTGTTCATATATTAGCATTCTACGCATAAAATTTTAGACAATTCGGTGCTAATTGTATGATAATTATTAAACGCTTAAAAATTACTTTATAAATGCAAGAAACATTTCTATGCGTATTTAACAATAAGAAATGTTAAACGTTGTACTGTTAAAGCTCAGTTTCACAATTCGCTCTTCACTTTTAACTCTTATTTCTCATCTCTTTCCAAATTTATAATAGAATTAGAAAGAAAGATAAAGTATAATATAAAGTTAAATCTCGGTTAAGAGTTAACCGTGAGTTGTAAAATTGGGCCTAATAAGCGTGTGTATACAGGGCGACAGTTTTTAATTATATCATATTTTAAACATCACATTTGAGATTAAATTAAAGTATTTTATCTTTGATATTTTTATATATATGTACAGAAGATGTATTTGAAATTGATATAGACATACCAACAATATAGAAATTAATTCTTTTTATAAGATAAACAATGTCCGAGCTTATTGTGGTAGATGTATTTCATATATATTTGTTGTAGTTGCTACAGTTTTTTAATTAATTTCATAGTTCTTTAATTGATTCTCTATAATTCTATCATAGTTAAATCAGTTTATGAGTCAAAAAATTAGTGTACATTATATTGTATCGCTGAATGATTGGCAGTAAGACAATCTTTGTTGTTTTCTATCTGTCGAATATATTTCATAGACTAAAAAAACAACTCAAGTGTAAATCTTAAAGAAATAAACATAACAATAAATTAAAATAAGTATTTTTATTTTATTAAAGATACATATTGCATAGAACAAAAGAAAAAAATATCAACTGAAGTCTAAATCTTAAAAAAATAAAAATGACTATTTTTGTCATTATTTGTCAGATACAGTTTTACATAAAGTCTGTTTTTTATTCCTGCACTTTTTGAATCGTTGTGCACTAAACAGACCTATATATTTTGTGGTTATTGATAATGCGGTCACATATTAATTAAAATAAGTTTTAATCCGTTTTCTGAAATTTTTAGTATAATTCCCTCTTCAATTTTTTTTCTAAAATAATAAATAAAAATTAACATCGAATTTACTTATAATCTCCTTTATTTTTTTATAGGGAACTGTGGTGAGAATGGGAGTAACACTAGTAGAGAGAGAGCGTTAGTAACTGCTTCGAATTTATGTTGCTTTAAACGTTCATCTCTTAGTTCTTCTTTGGATTTGCCCTTTTCTACCGAACTTACATGTATTTTTGAAAATTTTATGTTGTCAAGGGGCTTCTCTGCGCGGCTAATTTGGAAAGTTAAAGAACAATTAAATTTACTAAACAATAATTATTCAGTCAATGTATAAAAGTTTTGCTCATCTTTTTTAGAAATAGGAATAAGCTTTTGCTTCTTATTGGTACTCATAATGAAGAAAATCCGAGAAAATCTCACTTCGTCAGATTGCCTAAAAAGGCAATCTACAAAAATCAGCTCTTACGCCTCTCTTTATTTTTATTTTCTTCCTCTATATTTCGTCGTATTCTATATCTTCTACTTTGATACGTATTCTAGCGACATCTTTGCACGATCAAAAGAAACTTTAATTCAACTCGATAGGTAAATAAGTTGTTTTCTTCTCGGGTAACACTTTTTGCTGTTTCTTTAACGTTTTTTATGACTTTAAACGCCAGATGGACACTCAGCTCACGGTGAGATAGAGAAGTTAATGGCATTAATGGAGATCGTAGAAATCGTGGAACAAGTGTGAAAAATATGTGACACTACCAGGAATATTGAGGGGTGGGGTCGCCTTGGAACATTGGAACAGTTGGAATTTGGAACTATCTGTCATTAGACACATGTGCTGGTTTCCATTGATATTCCTTTCCCAAGCTGTGATGACAATTAATGACAAGTAGTTTCTCGCCGAAAAAACGGAGCATTCCACTTCTGCATCTCGCGCACGAGAAAGATGTATGACATATGCCATCCCAGCGTGAGTAATCCGTTTTACTCGGGTAACCAAAAGGACGTATGGGATCTCTGTAGTCTGAGAATGTGCATGCCTATGTATGTCTAAATATTTAGTACGTAAAATTATTTTGCAATCGTTCTCAATGTACGCTTACAGTATTATCATCTGTGCAAACTTGGCTGTAATGACGCGATAAAAACAAGCACCGCCTTTTATGTCTACATTGAAATATGCGAAGGTATTGTATCCAATTTAAGTGGGTGGTAAATACACACGACACTTATTCTTGTAATGATTTTCAGTGAAGCGATACTGGGATGTCAAATACAAGTATAACGAAGAACTTGACGTAATCTATTTCGAAGTGAAGAAAAGAGAGAATTCTCAGCCAGAGATCTATGTACCTTGGCCAACAAAGTATAACATCTGTTTAAACAAGATTGAGAAAATGCAAAAATTATTGCAAAATGAACGGTGATTTTGCGATTTTGTTTTATTCTTAATTCTCCTATGTTTTGATATTTCTATAATATGATTTTATTGTATTTCCATTCTGTTTAGTTAAACTTCTTGTACGATTCATCTTTTCTTCCTTTTCTTTAGGAAAAAAAGAAAAAATAAACCATCCAAGAAGTTCGTCCTAAAAAAGAACTGGCTTAATCATTTATGTTATATTTCTAAATAACAAAATTTAATTCAACAGGTTGACATTTGTATTTAAATCGGAAGACAGTAGTAGTGTTTTCTATACAGTAACCACTGGCCTTTCGAAACCAGCTACACCAGAAACAAGTAAACAACAAAAAGAAAAAGCTGAAAAGATACTAAATCTCGAAAGTGAAATCCGAAGAAATACATCAAACTTATATGAATTAGCAAAGACTTTAGATTCTTCTCACGAAACTAGCGAACAAATTGATTTGGATACTACAAACTCTTTGAATACTGAACATTCCAGTGTAAAGATATTATGATACTTTTCATCTACTTAATTTATAATTTTGATCTCGTCTATGTTTGCTGTTTGTATATTAGTATTTATCTCTTTCTGTTACACACCTTACAGCTTGTGTACCAAACACACTATAGTTGAATATGTAAAAAAAATACTGACATATTGGAAGTAACCTTCCAATATGAATATATTGTACTTTTTCTTATATTATGTATAATAAACTAATCATGTTATGAGCGTAATAAAATAATTTTCTTTGCAATAAATAAATAAATTATATGATATATCAATTTTTATTGAATCGCGAGAATAAGTAAACTATGTTTATTAGAAAAGGTGTATTAAAAATATAGGGAAAGATATATATTTTTTATGTTTATTTTTTTAAAGTAATTCACATATATAATGCGGATTTTAAGAATACTTCTAAGAATTGCGTAATTGTTTAAAGTGATATGTGATAAGCTGCCACTGCAAAGATATGAATCAAATAAATTAATTTAAAAAAATTTTCATCTCTAGCCATGTATTATTAGTAGACACTACAAAATACGAGGCACATAAATTTCCTTATTATAAAACTAATGATAAACATAGCGAACATTTTAACCAAACTTACATCTATAATAATTTCTATGTAATTATGTTATATATAAAAAAAATACGTATAACGAAATAGTCTAATAAATCTTTATAAATCAAGAGTAAATCTATCTACAAAACACCATAAGATGTTTGTATATATGTACATAATTTTAAATTATCGCATTTTGGACCATACATATGTTCCATAAAATCATTAAATAATTTAATTCTTTCTGTAAAGAGCTGCATATAATATCAGTGGAAAAAGTAATTTGTTCACACACGATGCCATCTTCTAACGAATACCAAGTTACACATTGTAAAACGTAAAATACAAAACGGTATGATTTGATGTAAAAATATTTTTATCTCTCATTTAAATTGTTTTAAAAGATATATAAAGTTTTCAAAGATTGTAGACTTCGGCAGTTGAAAGTAGCGTAAAAAGAATGATATTGCATAGCTTTTTTCAGCTATATAAAGTACAAAATACACATCAATGGACATCTAGAATCTAAAATGTTATTTTTTGCGAAATGTAAATAATTTTGTTATTAAATTAAAGATTAGGGTTTCCTTCGCATAAAATCCATTTCACATTGCTTTACAAATTGTGATATATTTTTTCCTGCTTGTTTTACTACTAAATGCGTTGTCACGTAAATTTTCATGAATTTTATATTCTTCAGCCTATCTCTAATATCAAAATTAATATCAAAAAGATCGGATTTAAAACATTATGTACAAAACAGACATTAAAAATTATTCTTATTTTTCAAATTATCTTCCACTGTCGTATATTATGTTCAAGATCCGAAAATATTTTAGGCGCGATACCTAAAATATTTTTCTACAGATCCGAATCTCCATCCTGCATGTATAAGAATTATATATAAAATAGATACCACACAAAATGGTTATATATATATATATAAATTTATAATTGCAGTAAGGCAACTAGATCTCGAGATACTCGAATCTATTACTAATGACACAGTTAACTTTTCATGATAATATTCAATATTAAAAAGGTTCACAAGTAATTCTGGTCATTACATATTTACGCCTTATTAATATTAAAAGAGCAGTATTGAAAATAAAACTTGATAATCTCACTAATTTAGATAATAAGATTTCAGTAATCAATATTTGCAATTAATAAAATTCGATTTAACTATATTTTAATTATTTCATAGTATGATAAATTGGACAAATCTACAATAAAATGAACCATATCATAATCAATTTATACATTTACCAAGTTTTATTTGAAATATCTTTCCTCATTTGCGTCGTTATAAAGTCCGTAATTCAATCTTCAATTTTAAATCTAAGACATAGAGATAAATGACAAGTCGAAAAGATTATATACAATATCGGATTATTTCTTACTATAATAGCCAGCAATTTTTCTAGTTCTATTGCATATTACATATAAAAAATTGTTCGATTATTGTAGGCACCTTTTAAGAGATGGGTGAAGTATACCATGGGGTTACCTTTAGATTGTGTATGTGTGGAAGTTGTAGAAACAATCGAAATCCAATAAAGGATTAATTAAGTAAATACTAAAGTTATATAGCATCTGTAAAAGAGCTGTGATAATTAGAAGAAAAATTAATTTAAAAGATTTTCGTAAGTATTTAAAATCTAATAGCTACTACTTTAATATTACACAGCTTTCAAATCATATTCTCTGCAAAATTAAAACCAAATCTTAAAAAATGTTCAAACATGTTTACGGTAAAACGTGAACACGTCTTACAACTTTAGTAATTTGTTGCAAAGTTAATTAAAAATGATCGTACAATACTACACCAATAATTATTGAACATAGAAATAGCATTCATTATTCTTTCGACACATTTGATTATATATTTATATATACATGATATGAAGCACATGAACTAGTAAAAGTATCTTATAAACTAGAATATGAATGTACATAATTAAAATGATGAAATATAGTAATTAGGATACATGTTAAACGAACCTAAAGGACTTTGATATATAATATTAATGCAATGTTTCACATGATATCTCGTATGAGGGCTCGTATGTATGTCTAACATCACCATAATCTTGCAAAATTAGCTATACATAAATGGATTAAATTTCCAATTATCATAACAGACAATATATATTAGTTTAATCGAAGCGCTAAATGTTACTGTCAATACGATCATTATTGTTGCACATACATAGCGCCATTTCAGTTTTAATTCTTTATCACATGAGCATGAGCAAGTATAGCTACATTTTGATTTACTTTATGCTTTCTTAATGAATGTTAATATTTTTTTATTATTATGATTATCCTTTAAGTTCTATAAGGATATATAAAATCTTTGAGTTATATTGCGTGTATTACTGTACATAATAGCAATATATAGACAACGAAACGTTGAAAATAATATATATCTTCACGCAAAAGGACATCCATACATATTTAATACTAGCAACAGGACAGTGTCTGGAGATCACTTCTGCAAATGTAATCTAAAATTATTCAGTTATATGCGAAAAACTTCTTTATCGAAAAATTAATAGGCTTCATCGCTTTTTCCTTTGCAAGAATTGATTGGAACCTTTAGACTTTTAAGATGATCATAAATTCATTCACAATATTACTTTGTATCAAATCAGAAATTGTAAATTCATGTATATCAACTATTTACTAAAAATGTACAACTCATAACACGCGGAAAACCTGAGATTCGATAAAAAACAAGTTTCTACAGCGAACTTTGCACTACAAAATAATTCTTGATGAATGTTATTCTCTGAAGACTTTAGTATATATTTTCGCATTGTCCCTTACAAATAATTAACACTATATAATTCATAGCATTCAGTACATTTTCAAACACATTTTGATTTACCATGAAGACTAAACAGAAAAAAAGTACTTTGAAAAACCAAAAAGTTTGAAAGATTCTTACGTAATTGTAGCGTCTAAAGAACTGTCAGAGTCAAATCAAAAGACCAATCTTAGAAAAGATAGATTTCTAAGGCAATGAACAACTAAGCTGTATTTGTCATACAAGATGTTTCTTCTTGAGAACGGCTATCCAGGATTTGTGACTGGAATGTCTATGCAAGAGGTCAATCTGAATATACAATTTGTATCAGTGAAAAGATCAAAAATCGAAGTAAGTTGACTCATACTTTCGGTGAATTTTTAGCTAATATATTGATACTCTACAAAAAGCGTTTTCAATTTTTATGATTATTATACTACCATGTTTATATCTTTAAAATTCAGACAATCAATAAGCAAAAAAAAAACTTCTATGACTGGGAAATTTTTTCACTGCTTCCGAACTTTCGATACATGTGACCGAAAATACTGGGAATAATCCAATTTATTGATGAACATGGCGGATACTACAGGGGCCACTTACAACAGGGACTCACAATCTATATAAAGAGATGTCTTGTTTAGGGATTCTTAGCAAAACCATTTTTAGACAATGAGCAATCGAGAGCACCAGAATTATATCCGTTCACATCATAAGTTAAGAACGTAATATCAAACAGAACTTTTCTATGTTTTTAGCCTCTTGGTAATCGTTGTAATAAAGTGAAGAAATTAGTGTTTAAAAGTGGCAGATAGTTTTTTGAAATATCCAAATAATATGGAGATAAATATGGATTTTATTTTAGTCATATTACTTTAGTTCTATTCGACGAATAGAAGATGTTCAAGATATTTTTAACTAATTTCAAAATGATGTTTGAGAATTGATTATACTCGAGAAGTTAAATGAGATGTTAGTCTCACTAATGAATAGATCTCGACCTATGGAGCTGCATTCATGTACACACCACAACTTTGGTTAAAAAGTTTCTCTTGTAAATGTGCCTACTGTGATCATTAACATAGTATCTAAAATAAAAAATCTATATATATGATGTATGACATATATATATATATATATATATATAGCTCAGATGAACAAACGCGCACAAATACTACCGGCTGCGCGATTCCATAGCAATTTTTTCTTCAATTATGTTGATATTCTCTGGGAAAATATATATCAACATAAATCATAATAATTAATATTTCTATCAATTATTACAGCTAGCACCAATCAGCCATGTAAGTAAAGTCTTTGAATAGACTCTGCTCTAAGTCGCTAAGAGGCCGAGGATCTTTTGGAGGCGTTAGTTGTGGCTTCTCTGATGTGAACTCTTCATCGAAATTACTCACATCTTCCACTGAATGCTAATAACACAGAAATATTTGTATATAAATATTATATTTTAAAAAATCTAATTTACTTCTGATACTTCAATTGATATTTAATTAATGTCAAGATAGATGTAACCACTTTCTCTCTTATATATTCAAAGGAGAGTACT